AATGGCTGCTGCAGCAAGGAGCTTACTGAGCTTAACAAGAGAAATACCGTATACTGGGAAATTTTTGAGTAGCCAAATTTTCACAAATTTCACGTTTTTTACTTCGTCGCAAAAATAAAAATCATGAAATTGTAACTTTGCAGTGCCACGTGGTGGAATTTATAGGCTGTTTCCAAAAATATTATTTCATGAAATCTTACAAATGCAAAATTCGTGAAAATTTAGCGACGCAAAAATATCCCAGTATACGGTACCATTAAAGAGAAGCCTGAGATGCTCTGGGAGTTAGAGAAAGGAAAGTCATACTCATTTAATTTTCAGAAAAGTATAGGATAGGTCGGCCTACTGTATTCTGTGCTGTATTTCACTTATCCAGACTATAGAGGATATGCGTGCTAGGTATATTCATAATTTTTAAGTACCGTATATCCAACCCACACAGTAAATTGGCTGCCATGTTGAACTTCAAGTTTATTAAAAGTTCAATGGGGGAAAACTCATTTTCTTGCCTTGCTACCTTCTTGAGGCCTTTTTCGGAAGCTTAGAAAGCATACTGAGGATCTAATGGGTCTAGTAGTCACCTGAAAGATTGCTATCAAGAAATAAAGAGCGGTTTCCTGGTACCAAGCCTTTTTCTATCTTTTGTCCATTGCTGCCAATGCAAAGTTGATGTCCAACGAACTAATGTCTTTCTTGAAAGTTATTACGGCATGCAATGAATACATTTATTTTGCAATGAATACACTTAGCATGTACATCCTCTATTCAGCTATCTGAACATCTCTCCCAATAGAGGTGCACAAAGGTGTTTGGATAATCGAGGATGAACTGTACCAAATTAGCTACTACTACATGTACAAGTAACTAATGAATCGCCAAAAAATTGCCAAAATTATATTTTGGCAAAACTGCTTAACCCACAAAACTGCTAAACCCACAAAACTGCTAGTACATGTACCATTGCATGTCAGGAATTAGTTGACTTACATGTAAGTGGTCCAGATCTTCCCTTGACTTGGCTAGCATTGCAATCTTCCCAATATAACGATTATTGATACCCCTTGAGTGGAGGAGGCATTTCAATGAGGTGCCATCAATTGGTGATATATTAAGATATATACAGTCTCTCACCTACAGGTGTAAAATAATCATTAGTACATACATGTACAGTATAGCTGCATGGTTTATCATGGCCTCAAATTTATAATGTTTAAATTTTCTTTGAAATTAACATACACGATTTAATTTTTTTTTAATATTTTAATTGATGTTCACAAATGTAGTGGACCTGCACAAAAATTAATTCCATACTTAAAAAAAACAAAATTTATGCATGACCCTAGGACAATACAATAACAGTAAAAATATCTAAAATTAGACTAAAAATTATAAAGCATTTACAGAAAAATTTTCATGCTACAAGAAGTAGAAAGTATAATGTAAACCAAACATAGTATGAAATATGCAACAAAAGAAAGTTAATATACCACAGGCGCAGGGTGCCTTTTTTTAGGGCTGTAAATGTGGCTGATTTCCAGACTGTTTGAAGATTCACAGAAACTAATTCGGCAAAAATCAAATTATTACGGTACAAGATGATAAGAGACGGTTTAAATTCACGATAATTAAATCTGCAAAATAGATCTTTAGGCCAATTCGTGAAATTTACAGCCCTGTACCCTACGGTACACATACAAATTTAGGTACAGCATTCATTGTTAAAAGTACAAATTATTAAATTGGGTACCTCTAACCACAAAATAAAGTCCCGACATGTACATGTATGTCTGTCAGCAGTTAATCAACAGAACAAGTGACTGTATAAAACGTGCTTTGTTTCACAAGTATACACTACAAACAATGTTGACTACACAATTAATCACAACAAATATTACATACATGTACATGTGTATAGCAAATAAATTATAATAATTGCAAATAACAATTTCTCTTTTTTGTTATAAAAAATAATAATAGATTGCACACACTTTTAGGAAAACCTCAGACATTGAGTTGAGATTGTACATTGCTGTCATTTAGTTTATCATTACTAGCTTTCAAATAAGAATAAGACATGAACAAGAAAAACACACAAAAAGAGAGAAATAAAACAGAGCATTCATGAAGGTGAGAGATAAGGGCCCTGGGTAGACTCTATCATGCAAAATAAAGGGCAACTATTGCCATCATACTTCGCAGTTTCATGAGATGGCAAAGTATAGTTTACATAAATAAAACAAGTGCCACAAAATGGGTGGTGCCAATTACTAATAGTTTACTCAATAAGCTTAAACTTTAAACATAACAATGTTCCCAAACACACACTCTCTTTTACCCTGATAATATTTTGAGCTATTGGTACCAGCTGCATACCTCATTCTACACAGCTCCAGACATCATTACTTGCCATGTTATGGTACAAAAACATGGCAGTACAATTGTAAGGCATTAACTACCTTATGAGTTGTTCCTTGCTTTAGAGATAATTTTTAGTTGGCTGGAAAACCAATGTGTAAGTTCTGCCCCTATAGTCAGTCTAAACGAAGGCGCTACACAATTGTGAAAGGGTTCTTCTATGGCTTCACTTCCTGATACGTCACTGATAAAATGATATTCATTGCCAATGGCTTATGAATATAATTAAAATCATTCAAAATTTGAACCACGTGTAGCTGATAAGCTGATAATTAGGCAATTTCTGAAAAACATAGCAAGTTTGAGGGGAATTTTACCTGAATAAAATAAGACCCAGCAACTGAGGAGTCTCACAATGTATTAAGTACAGTACCAGACCCTTTGGCACAAGCCCAGCACCCCTATGAATGATTTGCACAAAAATCAAAGTCAAACAATTCTTATTAAACAAATAATTTTCACGGTGGCATATCTTTGCTTAAACTTCGCACATGAAAACAAAACTTGTTTCTTTATAACAAGCAACTTCTCCTTTCTTAATGGTGCTAGTTACAGCACTGTTCAAGTATCTATGTAAGAGAAATAAGTAAAATAGTATGTGTATCCATTACAGCATGAGGAAAACCATATGCTTTCCTACACTTCTGGTGTTCAGAGAAGTGTAGCGCCTTCGTGTAGACTGAGTATAGTTTTGACCAGAATATAAAGCTCTTACACAGAGGTATCCTCCATCTCACTTCAAGGTATGGCTCTGGCTCAATAGTGGTAACCACTCCCAAATCAATTAATATAACACTTTACACAGCCTCGATTGTAGCTTACTTGTCACTACTGTTAAAGCTAATCTTGAGGAACATAAAAAGACTCCAAGCCCTTTACCATCTGGATGAAGCCTATACTGCTTTATTAATAATGCAGGATTAAATTTCACTATGAATGAGAGCCTTCAATCAATAACGAAAAAAGAAATATACTGTGCCCGGACACTCTTTCTTGCAATAACTATATCTTCGTACCCTTTGACACAAATTCGGCATTCTACTTTCACACACAAAGAAAAAGGTTATGTCAATTTAAGTCTTTCTTTTAAGGGCAAAAAGGTAAATATACTTAGTATAGTTACAATTATAGTTTGGCTATAAGTATAGTCACCTACATATTACAAAAGAGAAGCCAAACAATAGATTTCTATCCTATTACTTGTCAACAATCAATGACATTGGAAATCGTACTTTAATGACTTATATAACTTAAAGAAAGAAAAATTCATCATACTAGAACTCTTGACTTATTTTATGTGACTAAAATTTTTTGGCTTCTTAAACTTTGCAAGAAAGAAATTAAACTTGGAATCATTAGGTAGTTTCAGCTTTATGATAATTATGTGAAAACTTTGAACCTTTAACAGTGCAAAAATAAACCCAATTTATGCACTGTTAATATTAAAGTGGGACTTATTATTATTACTATTATTATTACTATTATTAAATTATTATTATTGTGAAATAAAATTCATAAAAATAGTGGCCCAAGACACAAAACACTAGCTCCCTTTCATTTTTGGCAAAATTAGACCAAAATCCCTACAACAGGGACTTTTGTCGAGATACAATAGGGAGACAAAAAAAGAGTACAAACAAAGAAGAACAAAACAAAAAGGCAAAAATAAATATTAACAATAGTATTATGATTGATAGTCATATCACTACTTCACCAATGATATTAGACAACTTATAAAGCATAACTTGAGTCACAACTACATTTGAACACTAAACAAATATCATTATCAACTACTAATATATTACTATAAGCAAGAGTGGATAAGGAGGAGGGGAAAGTGTCTAACTGCCCTATGCTGCTAGTGATATGTGTGCGTAGAAGTCTTTCACAGTTTGTTTAGCACCTTGTTTGACCTGTTTAAACATCAACAGCCATGATAGTAAATGGGTGTGTTTTTAATAACCTATATGGTGCACCCACCCACACATGTAGTCACGATGTTTCAAGAGGAAGAGTCAGAACTACAGCACAATCCAGATGATCATGACTGTTACACAGATTGAGAGCATCTAATCTTGATGAGCGCTATGCCACTACACCTAAGCGCCCTAATGCATCAAGAAAGAGGACATGGAGTCAAGAGTCAGAAGCCTCTGCTCCAGTGAACTCAGATCTGTAATACTTCGTTTTTAAGATCAACAGCCCGTCTCAAAAGTACATGTACCACATATTCTTTCACTTCTATCATTATCCTTACTCTTGATGTTGCGGGTC